GTCTTAGTTGGGAAAGCGAGTTTTAGGCTATTTTTGAAAGATTTATTTTGCATTAAAAAGTTAACAAAACACAATGAACTCCGCGCATAGTCAAGATTAATATGCGTTTTACAACATATAACGAAATAGTGTAAATCGGAGTTTTGTAGTGTCCGTAGCAGACTTTTCAATTTACCTAAATATTGTCAAATTTTCAGCGACAGGAAATGCCAATTAAGGTGTTCGGATTCAGTGGGCAAAAAAAAGGCCATATCGAAAGATATGGCAAAATGTGTAAGCACAGTATTAACGTCGTATGAAATACTTTTTAACCACAAAGTTTGAAGGTGAAATATTTTTCGAACATATATGCAGTGGATCGTTCTTACAGAGACGGCCTCTTAAAGAAAGGTAAACAGGCCTTGATGCCCAGGCTGGCAAATGTCAACAACAAAGTAAGAGTACATATTCACCCAAAAATATTGGTTACTAAATATAACGATTCCTACCTCCATTTTTGCAACGGCAAGATATGGTAACGACTTTGATAGTATGAATGTACGCAAGGCCTCCATAGTCTCTAACTTTCAACGAAACTCTCCCGGATTTCTTCACGGAAATTTTAATACGTTTGCGATCAACTAAAACACTGCTTACGGTTTTATTGCGAAGATAACTGCGATACTGTATCGGATAACCTTCGGGATCGGTTGCATTAAACTCCAGTTGAAATACGCTGTTTTCAAAGGCGTAGTATTGCTCAGGCATGCTGATATAAGGTGGTCGATTTTCTTCAAAACAAATATAAAAACAAACTATAGTTTTTGAAACAGAAAAAAGTTACCAGTCTGGGGCAAAAACAAAAATACCTGGGTTTCCTATTTCTTGTTGCAAACACTTGGGTAGGGTATGTCGGGTTTTATTTTTTTGTAATTTTTTTATAAAATGATGGCATGCACAAACATTCGTTAAATCAACTTTGAAACAAACAGGTTATACTTTAACTTTCTGTGCCAGTGTAGTGCCAGTCAAATAAACAAGCTTTCGTTGGTATGGATGCAACTACCTGAAAAATATAAGAAGAATTTCGACGTTTCAAGCGAAGGCCCTTCGTCTGGAGTTAGGGTCGTCGCTCTAAACGTCGAAATTATCTTATATTTTTCAGGTAGTTGCTGAGTTGCATACCTACCAACGAAAGCTTGTTAGGTTATACTTTACCTGATATGCTAACAGGTTATGCCACGGACTGGGTAATATACGAAAAATTGCTCCAAGCTGTTTGAAAACTTCGGATAAAAGATTTGGTTCGGTGATTTCAGTGGCCAAAAGCTTAAGCTACGTAGATCGAAAAACCGGAAACACTTATTTTACATGCTGTAATTTATGAATTGAAACATTTCTAACCACCAGTCTGTCCTTCTAACTGCATATATAACATTGGGATTAGATCGAACTTAATGAATTATGAGTGTACGTACCTGAGTAAGAGGAGAATAAAACGGGAAAAGGCAACGGTCTAATAAATATCATACTTTTACGAATTGAGACGTTTGCCGTATACATAGTTTAGATAAAAACACAATTACAAAAAGGTAATTATATATGTTGAAACACATACCAAGACAGTAGTCTTTGGGATCAGCATTGGTACAGTTTGGTAATTTTGAACCTAACAAAAGTAAAATTAGCAATCGTATAGTATTTAATACAAATGTAGTATTGAGGGGGAAATCACCTGGGTGGAGCCTGCAGGACCAAATGCCTCCCCTCCCAATATATAATAATAATAATAATGGTTTAATAAGGCATTTCCACATTACATGGCTATTCATCCAACTATTAACACTCTATAATATATATCTATACAATAAATGTCAACAGTTACAATTATCCTAAGTATTGAAAAATTTAATTTAAAATACGAGTACGCGCCCTTTCCGTGAGCACAGTTTTTACTTCCTTAACGTAACTACGATAAAATGAGTTGTCCCTAACTTCTTGTGGTAGACTGTTAAATATGGTAGCTGCAGAATGTTCAAATGTATTATTTGTTCTAATCATCTAAACATCCTGCCATTATTACTACTACGTAATACCCTTCCGTGATGCTTCACATGGACTGATAAATACGATGGCCAATTGTCAAAATGTAGAGATTTAAAAGTAAATTTTGCTATACTAAGTTCAAGTTCAATTCTTTCCTTTACCGGCAACCATTTTATATCCAATACATTTTCCGTATTTGCATATCGACCTTGCACAAAACCTGCCGCCGCATTTTGTACTCTCTGTAACCTTTTTATAAGATAGGTTGGCAAAGCATTGTATATAAAACATTACAATAATCCAATTTGGAAAGTACCAAAGCCTCCGCGAGTTGTTTCCTGATATGAAATGGCGTAAACCGCTTTAATTTCCTCAAAACAGCTAAGACACCATAGCAGGACGAAGTTAGCTCTGTGATGCGATTGTTCCACAGCAGGTTCTGCTGGAAAAGCATTCCAAGTACTTTCCAAGATGAAACTCTTTCAATGAGTTTGCTATTTACCGTTATTTCAACCTCATTTTCTCTATCTAGATTGTGGTATCTGCCATTTGTTGTGTGGCAAACATCATCATTTTGGTTTTAGATTCATTAAAAATAAATTAGTACGTGTAGACCAATTGCTGTTTGACAATGACTCTTCTAGATTTGATTTACAGGCAGCTATGTCATTGACCTTGCAGTGCTGATAGAAAGTTGAATCATCAGCATATTGTAGACAGCTTTCTTGTGTATTGATATTACGTTGCCATATCGGCGACGTACAAGTTGAAGAGTACTGGACCCAAAATAGATCCCTGTGGCACACCAAACGTTGTGGTGATTTTAGTGGAAGATTTATCATTCACTTGCACGTATTGCTGTCTGTTTGTCAAATAACTTACCAACCAGTGTAGGAATGACTTGGAAAAGTTCAACTTATACAATTTGCTAATAAGTATTTCAAAGTCAACCGTGTCGAATGCTTTGGAGTAATCCGCAAATATGGCCAAGGTTATTTCGCCTTTTTTCATAGCTTTTGTAATGTCATCTTTAAATTTAACAATGTAGTTGCAGTAGAGTGGCCTTTTCTAAATCCTGACTGAGTATCCATATACAAGCAAAACCTGTCAATAAATTCTTGCATTTGTCGTAGTACCAAGCTTTCGTAAACTTTTGACAGTATAGGCAAAATAGCCACAGGACGATAGTCGTTATTTTCAGAAGGATTATCTGTTTTTGGATAGGACTTATACGAGACACTTTCCAAGTTTGGGGGAATATATTATTCTTTATACAGGAGTTAATAATATGCGTCAAAGGCGAAACAGTATCTTCTATCACTGGTTGTATCAATCTCATAGGGATATTATCATATCCGGATGAACAGTCTTTCCTAATTCGCAATAGTTCCATTTTCACCTCACTATATGTCACATTTCGAAGCTGAAACTCATCACCAGTGACACAAGGCATATTATTTATTATTTGGTTAAGTTCCTCATATGATTTACTCTCTCTACCAGTCAATCGCTCGGCTATGTTTGCAAAATGGTTATTCAGCTTCTCGGGGTCTGGGTCGATTGGTCGTGGGTTAGGTTGTAAGATTCGATGAATAGTAGATAGGTCTTTTAGAGGACAGGCATTATAATAAAATAATTTCCTGGTTTCTTTAATGACTTTTATTAACTGATTCCTCACTTTTCTAAATATTTGCCAATCGCTTTCCGAACCAGTATGGTGAGCATTACAACGATACACATCTCGCTGCGACTGCAAGGACCTTATACTTAAGTCCTTCATCCATGGAGCTGGAGGCCTGGTTACCATGGCCAAATTTTTAATGTGACCGCGGTCAAATTTGTACGACGCCGGTCATAGTGACAGCTAGACCACATTTTGGCTCCGGGAACAATTTTTGATTTTTGTGCTGTTCTGGACCCGTTAAATATTATAGTTATTATGTAAGGATTTTCTTCGTATTAAACTTTCATTCGAATTTAAGTTGTTTAATTTCTTATGCCAACTGCTCGTCAGATAACTTATAATAGACCAAATTAAGATATGGCAAAGTTTATATTTAAAATTTTAATTGTGTTATCTCGGCACAATTTTCACACAATTTCTCGTTTTCCCAATTTCCACTCGTGTTGATATAACTGACTGTATATCAACACGGAAAATGTTTTATATTTGTTAAATATAATATGAAAATTTCCTCTTCTTTTTCTCTTTTGTACAGATAGTATATATACATCAAAACTTTCTGATTTTACATATTGTATTAATTAATATTGACTGTAAATAATTATGTAATCTATCACAAATGAACAGTAACTAGATGATAAAAAAGGCTATGAAGATTTCTAGTAGGTCGATCTCTAGCCCAAAATCTTGAAATTATTGTAACATACTTTAATTAAGTAGCTTTTTTATACATGGGAAAACAATTAAATAAAAAAATTATTCATTGGTATATTTGCGTATCCGCCATTTTTCTAGACTGCACACCGCCAAAAATAGTTGATGAGCTAAAATTTATGCCAAAATTCGCCGCCAAAAGTCAGTAGAAAATTTTTACCTGCCAAACATCTTTGGCAGGAGTGGCCTGGGTAAAATAATTGTTATAGACAGAGCGAAATAATGTGCATTTGGTCACTTTGTAGTTTCATGGACGTTGACCACCATCTACTAAAATCCACCTTCAGATAGCTTATTATATTTTATTGCACCGTCTATATTTACTTTATACAAAAGTCATAGAAAAATTAAGAACTGTCTGTGCCAGTGTAGGTGGTGCCTACATGATGGTAGGGGCATAGAGATGCAACTACCTGAAAATTAATATAAGAAGAATTTCAGATATATTTTTCAGATATATATTTTTCCTTATATTTTTCAGGTAGTTGCATTCAGCTACCAACGAAGGCTTGTTAATGGAAAAATTAAGTCATAAATAAGGGGCTGGGGTCAACAATTAGGTTTCGTCACACTTAACAGCAAATTGGCCACTAAGGCCTTGACGCCCCCCCAGCGGCAAACTTTTCAAGGCCTTAATTTCGGCAATTTTGCCTTTGTCATTGAAAACAATGAAATGGACGTACTTGAAAAGGTGTTCAATAGAGCAGGTTTTAAATGCATAAAATGAAATTTTTGCCGTCTGTTGATTGTTGTACACATCTACATTACACATATTTCACACTTTCAAGTTTTCTTTATTAAAAACTCTTCGTTTTATATCACAACAATGTGACTTTGACAACGATTCTTCGAAAGATATTCAACACATTTGCTTTTGGCAACGTACCGCTGACAAACTGAGCCAGTGGTCCCGCGTGTTGAAAGGGGGGACTAGAGACGAGTGAATGACGAGTGAGTTCATTCTCGTACCCAGAGCCCTTCTTACACGTGGTGCGACGAGGGGCTCTGGCCAAATCCATATCCGAACTGGCATCTGATTGGCTAGTTCTAACACCGGATATTGCTTTCTTACCATGTTTTTATGGTATCCGGTTATGGATTTGGCTAGAGCCGCTCGTCGCACTCGGTCGAACGCGCGTAAGAAGGGCTCTGGGTACGAGAATGGAGTGAGTTGTGCTTTGTGTATTTCAATTTATTGTTGCATGCAACATTTGACAAGTTTCTTGTCAAAAGACGAAATATTAATTGAGTTTCCATCATGGAAAAACATTTTTAACAGCATTGACCAAGACCCCCTCCCCCCTTAGCGGCCAATTTGCCGTTAAGCGTGACGAAACCTAATTGGGGGGGGGGGTCATTGGGGGTTCCACAACACCGTACAAATGCGTTCGAGGACACCGCATCACCGCAAAAAAATTTGTAAATACCGCATGGAAAAAATACGGTTAAAAACATGTCATTGCCGCGTCCCATAACTCCATAAGGTTTATAAATTTCTGTTATTAGATTATAGATCGTGAGTTAGGTCGTCGTTAGGCGAAAAAACTTATGTGGATTTAAAAAAAACTGAAAAAATATGTGGATTTAACCGCAAAACTGACCAAAACTATACAGAAATACTCAGGGATGCTGGAAATTGCTGAGGGCTAGGGGTGCGTTTTGCTATCAGAAAGGCATATTTTTTAAAAAAGGGCAGAAACAAAAACGAAATGGCACTTGTCTACTTATAACCTAATTTAAAATCAAACACAAGCAATAAAGCAACCTTTTATTAAATTCAAACATTAAAATAAGGCACACAGAATTAGCAGAACAGTTTCGCTATCTCTTCTACTGAAGAAAGTTTTTTGTGCTTCTTCACTATATAAGTTATGAACAGGGCCGTAGCTAATATGTATAGTTGGGGAGGAGTGGGGTGTATGCCAAAAATTTCTGAGTGACGAAATTAAAAAAATTCCGAATATTTTATGGCATACGAAACCAGAAAGGTGTTTGCTATCCGGAAAATGAAGATGAAGACGCAATTTACAAAAAAAAATACGCATATTTTAGGCACAGACATATTAGGGTAGCATGCACTGCTGTGGGAAGCTCTTTTTGATTTGGGGGCTGAAAACGTGGGCCGAAGGACCCAGGAAATTTTTAAATTTAGAGTGTCTAAATGCTATTTCCTGGACTTTGGGGGAGGTTTTGACAGAATTCTGATGGTCAGAAAGCAGCATTTTAGTATGTCGAAATTTACAATTTGCTTACAATTTAGTGGTACTGACTAAATGGGCGAATGCGGATTTAATTAACTATATATTGGAGAAAATATGGGTAATATTATTCTTTGCAGTTTGTCATGGATAATGTAGCCGCTAAAAATTTATCAATTGTCGGTATTTTAAAACTATATTATTTAGATGATAAAGGTCTGTATGATTTTGACAAAAGAATTATTATTAGCAAATTATTGGGAGGGCTGCAGCCGCAGCCAGTTAGGGGCCCTCATCGGCCAAGTCCTATCTCCCCCAAAATAGAAAACCTACGTAAAAATGCAGGTTAAGAGTCAATGTGGAAATGAAAAATTAGTAATGTTAAATAATAAAGCCTCCATCGAAGACGGTAACTGGTTTTTTTATTCCATCCCAAATAAAACAAAAGTTATTCTTATTAGTTGTTACATGTGTTGGAGACTGTTATTGTTATGGACACAGAATTTCCCGGAACATTTTGTAGATATTCAATATAAATATAATATCTCAGTCAAACAATGACAACAGTCAACAGGGCCCCCGCACCAAATATGCCTAAGGGCTCCATCTTCCTTCGTTACGCCACTGCTGTTTGTGTGAAATTATTTAAATATTCGTTTTAAATCTTTTGTGCACCCGTAGCACCCATAGTCTGCACTCGCACTGCACCCAAAAAGTTATAAATGCAAAAGACATGGGGTGCACTTGCATCCACAGCACCCGTGGTTCCGGCATCCCTGGAAATAATATCATCTCACTGTATCACCGTAAGGTAAAACGCACAATCACCGCACACCGCCCCTTTTTCAGTCACCGCAACACCGCAAATTTGGAGCCTTAGTCACCGTATCACCGCACTAAAAATAGACCAACTCCGTAAACCGCAAGTCCCCATGCCCCCCCCCCCTAGTGTCGGCCCCTAATGCCACATTGGACATCTTCAAAAAATTACATTTTCTAACCTCGGGGGGAAGCTAGCCTGCAGGCAGCCCCATACCACATACCTCGTTTACGTGGTATGGGGCTGCCCGCAGGCTAGAGGGAACCGAACGATACCAAATATGCCAAAAATAAAATACATATTTACTTTATATGGATCGAGTTAATACTAATATTATTAAAAAAGAAATGCATTGCATATGAATATAGTTTTATAAACCATGCGAATACCTTGAATCCTTGACCTCTTCAAGGTTCAATTAATAATTGTTTCTTGTGCAGAGCCACAGGCAATAAAGGATGTCTCATCTGAAATTCATATCAACAATCTTTGGAAGGAAGGCGTTGTTGCGCGGGAAAGATTGGGGAGAACCCAATTAGAAATTCAATATGGTGGACGGAATGAGTTTTGTTGTGCCAAGAATCTAAATTGCGTTAAGATGCTTTATAGTTTTAGTTTCAATAATACAGGTAATTTAAACTCTTTAAATGCTTTAAATTTTTGCTACTCGAATTTTGTTTTATGATAATTAATATAAGTGTATAACGTATGTTGTTAAATTTTGTCTGACGAGAGCCGTCACAGCAGGCAGACACAGCCGAAGCCGTTTTGGTAGCAACTAGCCAGGGTGCATTCCATGTATAAAACAATACGCTGAGGCAAACAACAGTTACGGTGACTTGACATACTCATACATTTAAAACTGATATCTATAGTAGGCCAATGAAATTAATAAATCATTTTTTCCAGTTTTTATAAGTTTATTAAGTTATACTGTTAGTCTGTCGCTTATATTTTCAGTAGTTGCTGGTTTGATGCGGATTTCATATTTTTTTATTGATTCGCCCATGTCATGGTATATTAGTAACATATGAATGTATATACAAAATTATTGACCCTGGGCTAGGAGTTTATAGAAACCTGTAGAGGCTTAGAACCCCTAGTTCACATTGTTCAATCGATGAGGTCATCAAATTTGACAAATTTCTAAATCACTAAAAATTTAAAAAGGTGTGGTGCTGATCTTTAGGCTATTATGTTTCAAAATTGTATAAAAAAGTATGTATTCTTGCAGTATTTGTTCATAAAACAATTTTAATAAATAGTTAGTGCTAATGTGAGACAAAAAAATAATGAAATAATTCTCATAATTTATGAACATTCAGTAAACATTTAAAGTGCAGTAAAGAGGCACTATAAAGTTTCTAGTTTTCTTATTTTCTCTCCTTGTGACATCGACAGTTATATATTCAACACGTATCGGTAGTTTATTTCAGTTATGTACATTTGTTTGATATTTAGCACTATAAATATATAAAATTACAACCTAAGTTCCATTCATTGGGCTGAGCCAATACATCATTCCAGATATCATGTTGTTTCATACTACCATCATTTCGTTCTCAACTGCCTGTCGATTTTGTACCCTAACAAAATGAGTTTGAACTGACCAAGCCTGAGTACGAAACTACCAAGCCTGACTGCGAAACACAGACTGACATGGACTACACAAAACAGTTTTTATATTTGCCAAACAAATGGTAAAACACATCCTAGTACTCATTGCCAGTCATTTGATGAATGTGTTTTATTGTTGACTGCCTAGTAAATAAAACCTCATTGACTATCTAAAAATCTACAGTACATGTGCCAGATGCTGGTATCTGATATCCGGTAAAATTTTGCCAGATATTTGCTCAGTGGGTAGTACTGGAACTTTCATTAGAACCATGAAACCAAAAAATATTTCCTTTGTCTATTTTGTGTGTTACTAAGAAATTATAACATGAATGGTATGCAGGAATGGACTACATATATTATGGGGAAAACTAATGAAGTATTGTGGAAAGCACACATGGTATTTGTTTTGAAGAAAATGAAACATTGACCATTTAGTGACCAGCAGTTATTTTGAGGTCTGTGGTCCTCAACTCATTCCCAGTTTTCTTCCATTCCATCGATCTTGTATATACAGTAGTCATATTAGTCATATACCAGAATAATGAGAATATGCCCATTCACAGGTGCTGCCCAGCACCTTGCCTTGTATACAGGATTACAAGGTACGAGATTGTTATTGCATGTGAAATCCAACTTGTGCAGACTGTTAGTAAGAGTGTTTAAACCACTGAGTACCTGGCTCTTGCCTTGACAAGTAAAATTGTTTGGCTTTAGAGTGATAAGTAGCCTGCTTGCAGCTCGAAATTTCGTTCAAAGGAAAACTGGAAATTTTCCATTTCAAATTTTTGGGTGGGGCTGCAGGGAGCAGGCTAGTAATAAAGTAGCATGCAGTGCAACTTAATGGGTGAATTATTAATGTTGTGTCAGATACTTTTGATAATAGCCATAAACCTGATTGTTTTAGATTGATAATTTTCATTAGTATTAATTTGTAACAGCCATAATTACAGGTACCTGGTTGTTTTAGATTGATATAGTAAATGAACCTAGCTAATGGAATTAGCCATTCCGAAGTTGATGAGTGGACTGGGGACGAGTGTTAAAAAGTGCCCAAATTAAGAAATGAACCAAATCACTAAAAAGACCACCTCAAAATTAGTATGAATACAAAGTTTTGAAGACGTTTACATGAATACCCTTCGAATAATAAGCTTTCGAAAATTGTGAAATTACCGATTAAAAGATTGTTTTTGGGACGCGCGTCCCCCAAAAACAAAAATTACAGTACATTTCATAGTAAATATCGCGATTTTCGAAGCTTATTATTCGAAGGGTATTCATGTAAATGTCTTCAAACTTTGTATACTAATTACTAATTTTGAGGTGGTCTTTTTAATGATTTGGTTCATTTCTTAATTTGGGAACTTTTTAACATTCGTCCCCAGTCGTCTCATCAACTTCGGAATGGCTAACGGAATGGCTAATGGATCAACTTTCCTGATTTATACAAAATGAAAGATCTGCTTATCGTCACTCAGTTATTCTTGCACATGTGACATGTCCAAAATATGCTCTGCCTGTATGTTGCTATTATCGTGATACAGGTTATATAAAACCTTTCAAGCTTGAAACAGTGATGTATTATGGAGTGTCTCCGTGTTAGCTTGGATATTTTTCCTTATATTGCCTAAAAACATCACTTGTCTTCTCTGATATAACGGTTCATAATGAATAAACCTCCCACGGTTTAATTTCTGGCACCCTTGACCACGTTTTCCTTTTTTTATCACATCAACAAAAGCTTTGGTGACAAGGAAAAAGTCGCTGCACGCGAGCAATTTCGCGTAGTGGAAAACCGAGTGGACTTACACGCTCACTTGAAACTTAACAAAACTCCAATCTAAAATGATGCTTTTTTTCTTGTTGCAATCACATTGGATGCGTCAAATGTTTTTAGAAGTCTTGCTAAGAGTTACAAGCTACCTTGAGAATATCCCTAGAGAAAAGTTAGCAGAACAGTTTCTTTATGAATTATGTACAGTATTTCCCAGAGATAACACGACGTTTGTGTTCGATTTTCCGATTCCGCGTTCCACATCCTGCAATCTTGCATCAACCGTAGCTGTAGATAATAATACATAAAATTTGATGACTAATAATACAATGTCATTCATAATGAGAAACGTATATTTTGATCACGGTCCATCAGAATCTCATTTTTTTACCTCCATCTGCCTTCATGTTAAAGTCTACAGCGCCCATTTTACACACGCCACGGATTTGTTTTGAAGCGTGTTACGTGCAGGGTTACATGAATTATATTTTTTGCCTAGTTCTAATTTCCCGCTTCAGATTGATAGGGATACAACTATACCTGAAAAATACAAGGAGAACTTCGACGTTCGAGCGAAGGCACTTCGTCGAGAAGTTAATAGCGTCGGGAAGTTAGATACATACATTTAAAATAATTAGAATAATGTTAAAACCATGAAGAAAGCTTCGGATTGATAGGGATACAACTATACCTGAAAAATACAAGGAGAACTTCGACGTTCGAGCGAAGGCACTTCGTCGAGAAGTTAATAGCGTCGGGAAGTTAGATACATACATTTAAAATAATTAGAATAATGTTAAAACCATGAAGAAAGCTTCGGATTGATAGGGATACAACTATACCTGAAAAATACAAGGAGAACTTCGACGTTCGAGCGAAGGCACTTCGTCGAGAAGTTAATAGCGTCGGGAAGTTAGATACATACATTTAAAATAATTAGAATAATGTTAAAACCATGAAGAAAGCTTCGGATTGATAGGGATACAACTACCTGAAAAATACAAGGAGAACTTGGACGTTCGAGCGAAGGCACTTCGTCGAGAAGTTAATAGCGTCGGGAAGTTAGATACATACATTTAAAATAATTAGAATAATGTTAAAACCATGAAGAAAGCTTCGGATTGATAGGGATACAACTACCTGAAAAATACAATGAGAACTTCGACGTTCGTGAGAAGGCTCTTCGTCGAGAAGTTAATAGTAGCGTCGGGAAGTTAGAAACGTCGAAGTTCTTGTTGTATTTTTGAGGTAGTTGTATCCCTATCAATCAATAATTTTGCGCGCCTATAATCTGCGCACATTTGAAGGAAGATATTTGTTTTTGATAGATGCCAGATGACATATTGATTAGAAAATGGAACTGACTGGAGAAGAGTCTAAGAGAATTTTGAGGCGAATTGGTACGGTAGACATTTGCTATAAATAATTGGTTATATATTTTCTTACTATCATGTTATCAATTATTTAGAGCTTGAAGCTTATTCAGCACTGGTTACTGCTTTAAGAGCTCAAGGCGAACTAGACAGGTAATGAAATTATAACTAATTTAAACGTGTTCTGCCCATTCACTAACTGAACTGGCAATTGTCCGTGCAAAAGTAAGTGCATGTGCAGTTACTCACACATTGATTAATAATGGTCGGTCAGCTTTGCGATGTTGACATTGATTGGTTGTTCTGATCACTTCCCACACGACCAATCATAATTAAGTGTCGGTAAGCAGTCCCAACGATCCATGAACCGAACATTTCTTGGACCTGTGGATAGTGTTCTCGAATTTTCTGCATGTCTTGTACCATAAACGTTTGTTACCTGTTATAGCGAAGCCAAGAAAATGTTGTGTCTATTCAAATGAATCATTTTATCTGATCGGCCAACATGTCCGTATATGCAAAATTAATCGGTTTTAAATTAATTTTAAAAGAATAAATGAAATTAAGTGTTTTTGTTCGTCAAATAGCCGATTGCTGACCGTTATAAATCCACACTACTGGGAGTCGAACCAACTGTCTCTGGTTTAACATAGGGCTCCGACCACTGAGCTCAATAGCGATTATAGCCCTATGTTAAACCCCATGAATCACCCGATTAAGACACACAGAATTATTATGCATACACTCAACGTGGGATATGCTCTTTAAAATGATCTAGGATTAAGTACTATTTAAAACACGAGAAGGAGTGTTTTATATTTAAAACACGAGAAGGAGTGTTTTATGTGTTTTATCATATTTAAAAGGCGAGGCGCAGCCGAGCGTTTTAGATATGATAAAACGCGAGTTCGAGTGTTTTGAATAGCTTAAAATACGACTACAAAAGAATACTAATTAGGATGAACAATTATATAATCATACTAATTAGGATGAAGAATTATATAAAGAATACTAATGAAGATGACTTTTATCAGATGTAAAGTCACTCCACGTGACATATTATGGCTGACATGATTTGCCACAAGGTTTATGAATTTTTAAGGAGTATTTTAATGTTATTTAGTATATATTAATTACATTGTTAAATATTACGTTTTATTTCGAAATTTGAAATTTGTAGACGAAAGAAGAGACTCCTTCGAGAGTTAGGTGAACAGTTAAGGTAAGTAGTCTCTTGCAGTAAAATGGCAATCATTTCTAAAATTATCTACTGCCTCTTTACTAATGTTTTTCACATCATTTTTCGTAGTATTTCTACAGAACGACATCGAGCTGAAATTCGTCGAGCCATTAGTGATGATCGTTTATCTATGATTGCAGAATGGTGAGTTTGCTAGTTACGCTCTCTTGGTATTTCTCGAAAACTAACCAAAGTTCGACCCGGATTAACTTTAGTCCCAAACCGCATTCGACCAGGATTAGTTTTAACCCTACTTCGGAAGTGAGTTGAAACTAATCCGGGTCGAACCTGGCTTACTTTTCGTGTTAATCGAACTTAACTCTCTTGCATAAAAAGAGATTTTGATTACATTGATATCGAAGGAACTATTATTAATATCACATACTCGAACCGACCTGACCGCGTAGCTCAGTTGGCAGAGCATTGGGCTAGTATTCCAATGGTCGTAGGTTGACTAGGTTCGATTCCCACCGTTGCCAGGCATATTTTTCAAGCCTGCCCGGTGTGGATATACACTCAGAGTAACATCACAAGCATCATATTCACCTGAGTACATTACACCAACACAGAAAAATATCAGTATATTCATTTAAGAAAACAAAAAACTAAACACGTGAACATACGTGAACAAAAACTGCACAACAGAGCCAATTAAACACTTTAACTAATGACGGCCACGCCTTTCCCGTTAAACCAGTTTTCCGTCTGGTTGTTGCTGTCGCGACCATGTCAGAGTGACAGATATACTACACTATACATTCTCATTATATCTCTGCAATAAATGAAGACTGTAATAAGTTCTTTGTAGGTTTGCATGGCGATAAAACATATAATACTATTGTTTGTAGAAACACCACGTAAATTTATTACTGCAAAGCTTTCGATCCGTATATTATTAGCACTGATGAAGGTTTCAGTGGTTTGCATGCATCAAACACAAAAGACGTGATATGTCGAGACTATTTCACGTCCGTGACCATGACTAGATTACAACATCAGGATCTTAGCCAGGATTTTAGATTTTGAGGTAAATTTCCAGAACGTGTACAATCATATGTATCTGTGAATTAGCGTGTTCTCTAATGTGTTACGACCAAATATGAGGCCAACATGAGCTCATATTTCACACACACACCAGCACGGCCTTATAAATAAGACGCTGGACGATAACTGAGATCAAATGGACACGTACAGTATTAGAACTTATTTTTTCTCAATCAGTGTGTGTGGATCTGATGCAAGTGTGGAATGGGAATCAGAAGGCAGGCGGGTTGTTCCATTAATGCCTCGTCTTGTACCTCAAACAGCATTCGCGGGCTCAGCTACAGCAGCGGCGAATCACGCTGCTAGTGTGAACGCCACGATTTCTTCAACAACGAAAGGTGAGTGTTATTAACACTTCAATCTATTTCTTGTTTTCCACACTCAAGAAAGCTGCGAGTTGAGAGGGATACCTGTAAAATACAAGTACAGGGTGTCCATGGACCTTGAAAATCCTGGAAAATCCTGGAAAAAATTCCAGGACTGGAAAGTCCTTGAAAATCAGTAGAAGTCCTTGAAAGTCCTGGAATTACTTTACTTAACCTCCAGCTGTGCTAACATTAGTGATTTTGATTAAAATTACAGAATAAAATGCTTGTGATGTTACTCTGAGTGTATATCCGCATCGGGCAGGCTTGGATATACACTCAAAGTAACAGCACAAGCATGTTATTCACTTGAGTACATTACACCAACACAGAAAATATTACGGAATAAAGTTAATTATTGACGGCAAATCCGTGCCATTTTCAAAGCCCCTGAAAAAGGGCCTTGAAAGTCCTGGAAAAGTCGTTGAATTTCACCAAAGGGTGGACACCCTGCAAGTAAAACTTGGACGTCTCGTGCGAAGGCCCTTCGGAAGGAAGTTTAATTTCCTTGTATTTTTCAGGCAGTTGAATCTCAATCTGCAGTTTTCAGGTGTTTTTGTCACGACTTCCCCTGGCACAGACCGTTCGCGCTTATTTCCACATTCAAGCACGTCTTGTGCCTCAAACTTCGTTCACATTCTTTACTATCGCAGCGCCCAATCACACTGTAAATTAGACTCCAATATCCCTTCAACAATTTCTCAAAGTGCTATCTACAGTAGATGGTCAACTATATGTCGAACTGCTTGTAAAATGCTGAATGTTTTTAAGCCAATAAAAAAGGTCCAAAATATCGTCGCCTTAACATCTTAAAAATAGATATAATTAGTTTCTACTTGAACCAGCTTTTTCCAACATTTTACTGTTTTTTCACTCGGTCTTTAGTATCACTTCAGACGTTTTTGCCAAAATGTCAGTAAACAATGAGATAATCTTAAATTACTGAAAACTGAGCTTCCTAATATGTCTTCGAACTTGGCAAGCTTGTGTTACTGTAAATCAACGTTTTTGGTAGCTAGTGTATAGAAGTTTTCCATAAGGCATTCAAGAATATCTCAAGAATATGCTCTGTGATAAATAACAGCTCAACATTTTGTTCATTCAACTAACAAAATGTGTTGATGCAGGACGAGTGAAGGACGATGACGAGGACTACAGATCAAGAAAGCGTCAGAGAACAAGCAGTCAAGGAAGTGTCCAGGTAACTAAACCTCACCACATTTGGTTATTCTTCGTGAACAGTAATTGTCGATAGCTATATACTGATTGGATGATGCGAATAAACTTGTTGTTATCTAGAAAGTGATTGTATCTTCTGCTACTAAAACATCAACACCAACAACAACAGTTCGAAGCAACAACACAACCATGGCAAAAGATTCTTCGCGATTTATAAAAACACCAACATTACCTGTTAAACAAGACAGCACTCAACTCTCATCCATGAAAATGACGTCATCTGGTGGTGTGAGCTCTAAGCCAGTCGTATTAGGAGGATCTAAATCGTCATCAGTCTCAGTGGCGCCAAGTAAATATGTTGCTCCACTGCCTGCTAGTTGTTTACAGGTATGTAGGGTTTGTCATGTGCTTCAAAATGTACGAGTATAGTGTATGCGTCATACATGGGTGTTTTTAACATTTGGTGGTTTTAACTTTAAAAACTGACCTTGTGTTAAGTGGCAAATAGATTATACACTTAATGTCTAGTGTCTACTCTGTTTTGCGAAGCAAGGTTGACGGAAACATTCGAAACAAAAGAACTTCCTTCGTGAGTAGACATTCAGTTTTGTGTTATATAGCGACGAAGGAAAAATAAACAACATCCACACAACTATTTCATTAAAAAACTCTTTAATGCATATTATTTTCACAAGAAAAGAACCTGCTAAAAAGCGTTTCAGCAGCATTCCTTGTTGCCTGCTGAGAATCTGTGTTCTTTTCGTAAACTGGAAAAAAGTTATTTCTAAACTTTTGACTACATTTTGTGCTTTAGAGAGTTTACGATTCATTTTTTTTCTGCGCCCAGTCCTTCACGGCGACTTGGCCAAACACGTGTGAACGCATGCGACGGCGGCGTCCTCAAATCCCGCCATTTCGTAAACGCTGTAGTTCTGTAGGCAGCACGTCGGAGCGGGCAATAATTTTTTGCATTAAAACAAAGCCAACCTAACCACAAATCGGGCAGACACAAGCCACAGTTCCCTTTGAGAACAGCCCTTTCAAGCCGTGAGAACGTGTATAGCGCAAAAACGTTAAAACATTATACCAGGGCGCTTATATATATATATATATAAGCGCCCTGCATTATACCATGATAAGTAGCGTTGTTCTTTCCTCAACTGAAATATACTGTTCTATTTAGGCGCATGCATCCGTGGTGAGTGGAAACAAGAACAGAATGAATCTAAATGTTGTGAAACCAAAACCAGCCAAACCCAAGTTTAAATCATTAGCAGGCTCGATGAAAATGAAACCTGCCTCTACAGGATCTAGTGTGGGATCTTCTGTTGTTCAGACTGTAGCACAGTCATTGCTCTCTATAGCAAAGACCAAAGGTAAGAACTTCCGTGGGTGTACAGGACAGAGGGGACTGTTGAGGAGGAGGGTTCTGGGGGTCAGTACAACCCATACCTGTTTCAACAGGATCTAGTCTGAACTCTTCTGTTGTTCATACTGTAGCACAACAGGAACTAAACTGTTTCACATTAGTGATTATGACTTGGTCATTACAGTGAGTCACCTCCAGATAGAAACCAGGTTTATTTTAGTGTTGTTCTATTTGTAGGTTATGAGGTGGCAAGTTCAACAAGTAAAACAGTTCAAGTTGCAAGAAGCACATCAACTATAACTGTTGCTCCGAGAAGTTCTATTTCTTTAACAACTTTTAAAACAACCATACAACCAAAACCAACCACTCAGGTTTGTATTCAGAATTTGTTCATGGCGAGTCCATGGGTTTTGTAGTGAACATTTTTCAAGTAAAGTTTTAAGTCTTTGTTTGCAATGACGTCATTTTGAGATTTCAGTTGACGGGCAGGTATAACAAAAAGCGGCTATTTTAATGCATTGATCGAGTTTAGAGACAGTTTAAGACTCAAAAGATGAATTGCCGTTCAGTTTTTCTTGCTACAACCATTCTGATAGGAGAAAAATCTTACACAAGTTGTCTGATTGCCCGTCATTTGGATGAAAAGTCACGTGATTGCAAACAAAGAATAGAATGGACCTTTCCCCTTATAACTAAAATTTCGATCTAGACAAAAATTTCATCACAGTTTGAAAGAGCATCACAAAATTAGTAATGTTCCAAAGTTTTGTTGCAAAATCTTGTAAAATGCGGATAATATAGCCTTGCGAAGTTTGCCGTTTTTCAGTCATTTTGTATTACAAACGGGAAATTGACATCCGATTCGGGTGTTGGGGCTGCAATTTCCCGTTTGTAATCTAAAATGACTGAAAATTGCAAACTTCGCAAGGCTCTATTTTCCCCATTTTACAACATTTCGCAACGAAACTTTGGAATATTACTAATTTTGCGATGCTCTTTCAAGCTGTGATGAAATATTTGTCTACACTTGCCTAAATCAAAAGTTTGGTTATAAGGGGAAAGGTCTATTGTTGAACGACTACAGACTGAAATAATGCAACTTTCTCAGTGTTTCAGTCGGGTATCCCAGTAGCTTAGCGGTCAGAGTGCTGCTATTTAACACTTGAGACCATGGGTTTGATTCTCCATTGGAACATCGTCGTCCATAATCATATTCTTAAAATTCGTAGTATACATGGATATCTCGCGTTATTTCTGAGTGTCTTTGTCAGGCATAGCTCCTTGGCGAGAGAGCAATCTCGTACCCAGGTCCATCGGTTATTCTTTGGCTCTGCATGGTACGAGATTGAGCGAGGGTGCTGATACGTTAACCCAGAGAGACCTTTGGTACAATTTTCAGTTGAAAATCAATTTTGCTCATGTGATTCCACTGAAACTCACAAGTTAATATTTGTGTGATTGGTTCAGTCTAGCCCGGTGCGTAATGTCGAAGGAATATCCCGGCCAACACAACATGGCAAGGCAGTGTCAGTATCAAGACGAACATTACCTCCTATACTTCCCAAAACAATTCCTCCTAAAGCTCTTGTCTCCTCACCAGGTCGGAAACTTGCCCCTATATTGCCTGCTCCTGCGAAATCTACGTCATCGTCTCTCCCCAATCCCCTGATTGTACCTGTGGTTGTTAGTTCTGGCTCGTCACCAATCCCCATAGCTCCATCACCCCGTCCACCTCAACCGTACACTCCAGGTTTGACGAGCTCAGTTATGAATAAAGTAACGACAGTTTCCATGGTAACTGGACAGAGTTCTGATTTGAAGAGGTATGATAGGGCATTTTTTCTACACAAACACTGATGATTTTTCTTTCGGAAAACCAAATGACATGTTCATTTTAGCTAAATTTTGCCTGAAAAAGATCGTTTCTAAAAGTGTCAAATGCATTTGAGCAGCATGTGTGGCAGCATAAGAAAAATACTTACGGAAATTTAGCTGCCGACGTCTATATTTGAACTACTGTACCTGCAAATATGTTTCGCCGCGTCGAGCGAAAGCCGGAGAGTTAATAGTGTAGAGCACCTAACATCCACGGTTTTTCTAGGGGGGTGCTGGGTGAGCAGCCGAGTGTTTCTTTATGATTCTTTAGGGGGTGGTGGGAGATCATTCAAATGAATTGGCTTCCTAACGACTTGAGCGCCGAAGGCGCAAGCTCCCTAGGGGGTCCAGGGGTATGCCCCCCGGAAATTGTGAAAATTAGAACCCTAGAAATGCCATTTCCTGCGATATGAACATTGAATTATGAGCTTTAGTTCACCTTCAGAAAAGGAAAAACCTTGGAAATTATGCCATATTTCTGAATTTGATTTTTTTGCACCCCCCTTGCACCCCTGTTGACCAAGGCCAACAGGGGTGCGTACCCCTGTGCCCCCCCCCCCCTATAAATCCACCCCTGTGGCCGACTCCAAACCTCTTAATTTTATGACACGATAAAAACGTTGTTAAAGGACAAAGTGGATAATTGACATTTGGTCGTGGATGCAGAGGTCACAAGCACTGCATACATTAATTAACCACTGGACCACCAACCTTACCCAGCTGTAATTCACGGATAAAAGCACCAAGCACTATCGTGCAACTATGATTTTATTTCATTCTATGTACTGTTGTATTTGGAGGCAAATAAATAGAATTGCGAGATTTTCTTACTCCTATAAGTGTGAACATTTCAGAAGTTGACTGTCTACTCTCTAATACTCAAACTGTCATATCGAACATGGAATGATGTTTGAACAAATGTTTATTTTCCAGAGACAATCAAGAGACGTCCATTGTTTCATCAGAAGCAAAATCTCCAGTTCTGTTGGGCAAATCTCCTGCTGGCTCGCAAGACTCAAGTCCTATGTCGAGCAAATCGTTGGATAATATTCATGAAAGGTTTGTTTTAGTCGTTTTATAGAGAAAACTGCATGCTCAACGTGAAACATCTTGTTGTTATTTTTGTTTGTTTTATTTGTGTTTGTGTTTTGTTTTGTTTTTTTAATTTTGTTTTTTAAACTTTTATTAATTAAGGACCCACAGTAATTGGTAGTAACCGTTGTAGTGCCCGGTTGTTTTTTTCTGTTTTTTCTTGTCGTTGTCTTTCATATTTACATGTTTTGTTTGTTTGTTTGTTTGTTTGTTTGTTTGTTTGTTTGTTTGTTTGTTTGTTTGTTTGTTTGTTTGTTTGTTTGTTTTTTTGTTTGTTTGTAAAGATCTTTATTAGTCAGGAAACTATACTCACAAAAGTAGTATTTAAAACACAAGGAGTGTTTTATCATATTTAAAACGCGAGGCGCAGCCGAGCGTTTTAGATATCATAAAACGCGAGTTCGAGTGTTTTGAATAGCTTAAAATACGACCACAAAAGAATGCTATTAGGATGAACAATTATATAATCATACTAATTAGGATGAACAATTATATAAAGAATACTAATGAAGATGAGTTTTATCAGATATAAAGTCACTCCACGTGACATGTTATGGCTGACATGATTTGCCACAAGATTTATGAATTTTTAATGAGTATTTTAAGTGATTTTCAGATTGGTCCTGACCAATTTACATTACAAATTTTGGTATTACATGTATAATGTACATTTAGACAACGTTAATTTTTGCCTCGCGAAGCTTTATAAATAAACAACTCGTGGTCGATCACAAAATCTGTGGTTTGAGTTGGCTGAGACTCAGTTGTTCTTGTCAAGTATACCACAAAGACATTTAAGTTAATCATGGTGTCTTTAATCGTTTATCGTGCTACTTCTGTTATTTTGTAGAGAAGCACTGTCACCTGTGAACGAGATTTTAACTCTTGTGACATCACCATCAAGTGTTCCATATGTCCCTTCATCACCCGTGAAATCCCTTCCTACCCGTACACTTACTTGCGGTGAAATCTCACTGGAGTGTGACGAGAACTTATTGGAGGTAAATACAGTTGTTGTTCCGAGATCGTGTGTAACTAGGGATGAATAATTGTAGAAACATTGGTAGATTATTGTTAATTCTGGATTAAAATATAACTCACAGTTTAGATGTATAATGTAATGTATAAGCTTCCCCATGAGCCCGTTATATACCTCGGAGAGTTACAATAATCCTCTTGAGTTGTTTTGAATTTGAAATGAGTGACTTGGTAATATATTATTTGAGTTCATCTTTGTTAAGTTTAGTAAGTACAATCCTGGTTAAAACATTCCTCTGTTGATTTTTTGACTATTACACAAGAATAATTTACTTGATCCAGACAAGATTTTTGGAAGAAACATTGGCATGGTTATAAACATGGGCACTTCAAGTGCCGTTATGTAGAACAACCTACATTCAAGAACTCTTACTTTAATCGAACAGTTCATTTATGGAACTCAGTATGTAGAACTGCATCACCTAATAGCTTCGTGACATTATTTACTTTTAAGAACTTTCTTCGTCGGACTTATTCGTTTTTACGTAATTCAGTTTTTGGCGTAGACATGCCCATGTCACAGAAATTAAAATAATGTAAAGTTCTTTGATTGAAGTAAAGTTCGTTTCATGTACATGCCCAAGTCACATGTTTTCAAAACCAAGTTAGTTTCTGTACAATTTTTCCAAAATCTGCCATTTACGTATTTGAGAGATCAGTTGTGGGTTATGCACAAATCGAGCTTTACCTCAACTATAATTTATAGTGTATTATAAAATAACCTTTTAATAACGCCTGTGCTGATTGGTTGAAAAGCGAAAAATCCCGTGTTTCTATAACGCTATAGAACACTGGAATTTTCCACGAACCTCAAAACAACACACTAAAACAAACATTTCCCCCTGAAATATCGATTAAAAATCTTCGTCAACCTGAAATTTTGTTAAACAAGCAATGGAAAACACTTACCAAACGTTTTTTCGCTTTAAATTTTCTTTAAATCAACTTTTTCAGCGTGTTTTTCTCCATAATTTTGCAGTCGGCAAAACTGAAAATTGATGCCGGTATTGTTTGCTAGGCAACATTTTCTTGTTATTGTGTAATGAGAATATACTTTTAAAAAGAAAATATTGTTTTTGTGTTATTATTACAAGGTTATTTAATAAAGGAAATAGAAAACATTTTTTTCCTGTGTTTCTATAGAGTTATAGAAACACTTGTGCTAGTTTGGGAGAACTCGAAATAACGTGGAAACACTCGCACTACGTGCTCGTGTTCCCACTGATTATTTCTCGTTCTCCCAAACTAGCACGCGTGTTTCTATAACTCTATAGAAACACGGAAAATGTTTTCTATTTCTTAAATGTAAATATAATTGTAAAGTTTATAAGGAGGTGCCTCGCATGGGCTTTTTCTGACCCGTTCGCACTTTTTTTCCTTTTGGGCAATACCTATTTATTGTTATTGTTGTTATTTGGGCAACACCTATTTATTGTTTTGAAAGTTTTGTTAACCTACGATTAAACTAAACGGCGTTCGAACAACCGACCCCCATGGGCCTGAGTCTCTGATGTGCTTTATAATCCTAAATTTTAAACTATGAAATATCTTTCCTAGGACTTTATTAAAGACGATGATATTGAAGTCAGGAAACGAACTCAAGTGTCTAAGTCCATTTTTTCGCCAACACAAGACAACACTGAATCAAGGAAAGATGTTTTAACATCAGATCTTGATCTTATACAACAAACTTTACAAGACTTCGAGCAGGAGACCAACTTAACTCACGTTGGACATTCATTGCAAGAATTAAACAAAAGTAACCCTGAAACTGGGAAGGAAGACACATCAAAACCTATCGATCTTTCCCCTTTAGTTAATGAACTTATTTCCAGCAGTCCTTTTGATGTTGATAAGAAGGAATTTGAAGACCTCGATCCTTCTAATCTCATACAAACCAGTACTGTTGGTGATGATATTGTTGCTGGTAATAGTGATCTGTTTGTTGGTGAATTGCCTGTGTTAGATTTAGATAGTGATCTTACTCTTTCCGAAATAATCAATTCAGATGTTGGAGATATAGTTTCAGCGAGCACTGCAGTGGAAAAAGTTATTGAACAGTTTAGTCCTGTTGATGTGGACACAATTGATGGTGTACTTCAACAAGAGATGATGGACTTGCAGGAATGCACCACTAATTTATCAAATAAAACTAAACAACAAGAATTTGTTGAAATGAAGAAGGATGTTATTTCTCAAGCTGAAGACGTGTCTTCTGACAGAAAGCAAGAAGTTGAATCCAGTCCAAAAGGTTTAAATATAACAGAACAAGTGAATGAATTATCTTCCTTCCAAGATACTGCAAGCTCTGAACAAAATGTTAGTTTAAAAGATAAACTGGGAGACAATGTTGTTGAAACAGGCGAAAATGTTGAAACTTTAGATGAACAAACATTGTTGAAAAAGTCAAAACAGGGAGAAACTGAATTCCCTGATTTTCCAAATAATAATGGAAATTTAGGTAGCGTTTCGCAAAGTAAAAACGACGATGTCATTTCAGTTAGCACAGTAGATGCAACATCAGGAATATCCCAAGATACTAGAAATACTTCAGATAAAGAACCAGCATCTAGTGAGTCGTGTAGTAGCGGAAATACATCCAGTGAAAATATAAAAACAACTGAGAACAAACAAGAACCAGCTGTTTCTGAAAGTATTTTGGGAAGCGAAGTAAAAAATCGAGAAAATCAAGTTAATACCGTAACGACAGGCGAAGATGAAACAAATGAGATGATCATATCCAGTACGCAAGAGAAAAGTAACCTGACAGAAGTTCTAGATCAAGATGCCACATCCACCACAACACAAGCGAAGAAAAGTAACCTGACAGAAGTTCTAGATCAAGGTGCCATATCAACCACAACACAAGCGAAGAAAAGTAACCTGACAGAAGTTCTAGATCAAGGTGCCATATCAACCACAACACAAGCAGAGGAAAGCTGTCAGACAACTGGAAGTGAAGAAATTGAAGTCACACTAGGACACTTCAATAAAGATGATGGAAAACAAGAAAATATTGACGAACAACTCAGTGGTTCAGAATTTGTCTCTCCTGACGGAAATCTTGTCCGTACAAGTAATAGAAAACGTAAAGCTCCCCCACCTCGTGATTTGTCTGTGCACCCCCCGGGATGGGTCCGAAGTGCATTACAGTAAGTGATTTGGTTGATTATTGTAATTCTACCACTGTTCTGGTAATAGAGAGGTTCACATTTGACTTGCACTACCTCCCACATGCTTAGCACGCATTTGATTGGTTAATCGGGTAGATTAAGTGCATCTGATTGGACAATGGTGTAACGGAAGTCCAAATCTGAACCTGTTTAATATAAACACAAAACATCGAGTACAACACGTGAGTGAATTTGGTTGCAACGAGCATAAACACGTGTCTCAAACGGTCTATACTGGTTGTGGCAATGATAAGAAAACTGGGGATTGATACATAAAATATGATTGGTCAATTCAAATACAGAAAGTTATGAACTTTTTAAGGAAAATTCTTGAGGTATTGATCAGAGGAATTGCTATGTAAATGAACTGATCCACACTCTTCGGAACGCTTTTATTGTCACGATTGTGACTGTTGAGGTATATAGGAGTCGGGGAATCGGGCTTAGTGTGAAACTATGCGAGTCGACATAAATGTTGATGATTTATATTTAATGTTTTTTATTTTTTTCATTTTAAGATTGTTGCAAAAGGTCTCAAGATTTCGTGGAAGTTCTAGATCGAAAAATGCGCGGAGTGCGGCTTCGTGGTTTTTAAAACCAGGTGCGTCTTTGCAGTTTTGAAACTGATTTGTAATGATATAATATTATCTTCATTTAGAAACGGCCTCTTGAAAATCATAAAATAAGTAAAATAATTAATTTCAAGGATTAGTGTCACACCATGGTATTGCGGGCTCAAATTCCGTTGGGGGTTATTTTACGGGCCGAGTAAATCAAAATGGTATAGATCTAGGAAGGCTTTTGTAATCCGTCATATATTTAAACCACCCTTTGAGAACCCTTGCTTCTTTTAATATCTAAGTCTAATTGGAAATGCATCAAACAACGTATTTTTATCGCCATTTGTTGATTTTGGGTAAGATAAAAACAATAACAAAAGCCCACGGTGCCATGTTGTGACGCTAATCATCAATGTGAAGCTAGCCTGAAAAGCAGTCGTTTTGGGCTATTCTCGCGCGTTTCAAATAAAACCCCTGATTTGCAGGCTAATGTGAAACTGACGTCCAGTATCCTCGAGTTTACTTTTCACTTGGAAAATGAGAGTTCAGTCAGACGTCATGTAAGTAAGAGACACCGTCAACACGCTTCCTTTGCCTCGTTACCGCGTTTCCTCTAGCGTGTTTCACGTCTGAAGCAAACCAAATCCCTGGGGGCGAAACTGGACCAAAAGTGACTTTTGACTTGTTCTCTAGAAATCTGAACTTGCGACTGATTAGTTGTTTCACACAAATGTACACAAGAAATAGAAAACATGAAAATTTATCAAAGAAACTAAATATATGTTGCTCCATTTTTTATGACACAGTCGCAACATCAGAAGCTCCGGGTTATTATAAAGTTATCAAAAATCCAATGGACTTTGGAACAATCAAAACAAAATTAGAGGTACAGTATGCAAGAAAACAATGAAGAGGTTTACATTTGACTTCCACTACCACTAAGAGACATTAACCAATCAGAGGCGTTTGATATATCCAATGCAATCTTATCACTAATTGGAGAAGGCTTTTGTAGATGGAAATTTCCAGTGTGAATTTTATACATTTATTAAACTTTACCAGGAGGCGAGAAATGCAACTGTAGACCCAACCTCAAAACCCTGGGTACGAGGTTGCTGTAGACCCTCTGGTAGGCAATCCTGATATTTCGTCACTCAATCTTGTTACTCTATATTCTAGGCAAGTGAGTACAGCGCTCCAGCTCACTTTCATCGTGATATGTTGTTAGTGAAATCCAACTGTTCTAAATACAACCCACCTGGGCATGTCGTACGCAAGGTTCGTATTATGTGGAAATATCTTGATAGTATGGTTGTATGTACACTATGGTTCTAGTTTATTTACGCTTTTATAATAACTTAACACGAAGGATGTATACTCTGAAGACATTTATAGTGAACGCGCGCCGGGAGTATACATTTTGCATTCCTTCCCAATGTGTAGTACCGCACTACTTAATAGGACAAGTATCTGAGAGTGTGGTTATGATGTATACAAAAACAAACACAAAACTGTAAAGTAACTCGCTCTAAATAACCTCAGGAACCAATATGTCAATATAGTCTACAAGCTTGTCTAAAAGTACGGAGAAAAACATTCATTAATATAGACCTTAGAAGTGCTTACGTCACGCAATTTTTAATGCATAGGATTTCTGGAATACACAGTGCATTGTGGGATACTCATGGTCAGCAATTCAATTGTTTGAAAATTACGTGACGTAAGCACTTATAACGTCCATTGCCGATAGAATTTTCCATCTTTAATTAAAATTATTCATTTCTTGTTTAGGATTGTGATGAAGTATTTCAATTTTACGAGGCGGAGTACGAGAGATTTGTTGAAAAACTTGATAAGGTATGCGCATGGCATTATTGGATCACTAAAATAATAGATATTGCCAACTAGTTCTGGCTACTATTGCCATGCTACTGTTCAGAAATTTTTCTCAACTGGAAACTGAACATAACAGGAAACACCTCTGAAGAAACACTATGTCATAAATGGTCAGAGAAAACAGACGGTGCTAGAGCCTCAGTAAGGATTGTTTTGGTTGATTACCAAAAAGCTTTCGATTATGTAGACCACACCATCGTCCTATCTAAACTGAAATCCCTCGAAATCCCTGATTCCACTGTTAGTTGGATTGCAGATTTCCTGAGTGACAGACAACAACGAACCAAATTGGGACACGACTGCTTTTCGGAGTGGGGGAATGTCCCAGCTGGTGTCCCTCAAGGAACCAAGCTGGGTCCGTGGTTATTTATATTGATGATAAACGATCTAAAAACACGTGTTTAGACGAGGTAAAATTCGTAGACGATCTAACGGTATATGAAACAGTAACCAGATTTGGTTCAAGTGATATCCACCTTTTCAGGTTGAATGAAAACAAATGCAAAGAATTGCGGATAGACTTTGCGAAAAATAGAAATCCCTTTCCCCCTATTAAAATTAATGGTAAACCTTTACAAGTGGTGGAAGAAGCAAAATTACTGGGTCTTACTATCGCGAACAATTTGAAGTGGAATAGTCATGTCAATAACATAGTGACAAAAAGTTCCAAAAGGATTTACCTTTTAGTGCAGCTGAAACGAGCAAAAGTCGCGATTCAAGATGTTTTACAATTCTATACCGTATGTATCCGCCCCATTCTGGAATACGCTTCCACTGTTTTCCACTACTCTTTACCTAAATACTTGAGTGATGAAATTGAACGAGTACAAAAACGGGTTCTTCGAATTGTATATCCGAACTTACATTACGAAGATGCATTGATGGAAGCTTGGATGAAGTCATTGTACGCTAGAAGGCAAATTGCTTGCAATAAACTTTTTAATCAAATTTTAAATAACCCGGACCATAAACTTCATAATTTAATCCCTAAAGTAGATACTTCATTAAATTACCAATTACGTAACAACAAGAAGATACATGTTCCGAAATTCTATACTGAACGTTTTAAGAATTTGTATGTCATCGCTAGTTGTTTAGACATAAATAATCGTAATTCAACAAATTTAATAATTTAGTGTTAGTTTTAATATTTATAATCTTCTTAGTAAGCCATAGCATAGGTTGTAATTTTTTTAAATGTAATATAATTTAATCGCTTACCAATTCAGTATTTGTACTGCAAAAAGTGAATTATTAAACAATCTATCTATCTATCTATCTATCTATCTATCTATCTATGATACATACAGATTACACTCATGAATTTATTTGAATTGTTTAGATATATTTGTCTGCACCAAAGAAGCAAAAGACATCTCCTGTATGATGGAGAAGATACTGAAGAACAATTTTATCAAGTCTGTTTTAAAGTAGGTTTCAAACAAGTATGAGAGTGCATGAGAGTTGACAGTCACGTGACCTTGGTCAGCTGTTCTTAATGCGGAACCAACACTATCATGTATTCTATTGAAGTTTAAAAAACTCATTAATAATTCATGAGGAAAATACAAAAGAAATTAATGTTTAATCAATGTTTGTAAATCGGATAAAGATTTGTCCTGATTTACATAAACTTCAGCTTTGATTTTCTCGGCTTAGACAATGTTTATTTTTAAAATTACTTCGCCAAAATGTTTATTTTTAAAATGTTTATTTTTAAAATTACGCCAAAATGTTTATTTTTAAAATTACCTCGCCTTCGGCTCGAGTTTGTATATCAGATAAAGATCGGCTGCTCATGTTTTATGTTTCAGTTCTGTCCTCGCAATTTTGAAAAGTCATCGTATATGCAATAAATTGCCATCGATATTTTACAATTCGACAGCAGTTCGACGACATTTCCCCCCAAAATGACAATTTTTTGAAGATGCATGCATGTTAATTAATAGGTAATGGATTATTTCAAACCTGGATTGAATGAAAGGAAGTTTACTTTTCGTTAATGTGGTTGATAAATTCCTTTACAGCATACGGTGAATGATAGGTGTTTGATAATTTATTTTCATTTGCCGCCGAAAATTGCGATGACTGCAAAGTTTTTCAACATGTCTATAATTTTATTCCACATTTGGAGTTAAATTCCTACTGGCATTAACAGTGTAATTGTTACTCTTGCATATCTTAAATATACATGACATGTCACAATTTTGATAACAAAAATCTTGTTGCTTGTCATGTGCAGATAATTTCAGGCTCACTACAACAACCTATAATAACTCTAGTACTATCAACAAGCGTGTTACAAGATGAAAGCAAATAAGTGGCTTCTGAACGTGAATTGTACTGTAATATACATTATAACTTTTTTGTGTGACAGTGTAATGTTTCTTTAATTTTTTTGTTACATCCACGTTGATGCTTATACAAGTGCAAATTCGGAACAAGCAAGTAGTACTTGTGAAACTCATTAATCATTCATGAAGAAAACACAAAGAAATCATGACCGTGAAGGAGGTTGTATATCTGATATAAAATCATGCTGATCTCACCTTCGGCTCAAGTTTGTATATCCGACACAACACGGCCGCTCATGAGGTAAATTGTACTTGTATTAAAGAGACCAGCCTGGGTGTTGAGAACGTATTAAGATATATACTGTGGGTTAAAATGTTCTCCATTGTCTCTCCAAGATAAGAGTGATTAAAGAAGGCCAACCGACACAGAAAATCCTGCATGTATTTACGCTAAGTCCACACACTAATCCGTTTTCATATTATTTCAGATAATTACATTGTTCTCTATTCCCTTGTGAACGGAGAACAAGGCGAGAACGGATTATAGTGTGGACATACCCTTGTAAAAGAACAATGTTTAGTCCATATTTGATCCAATGATCCGGTATATTATGGGTATTGTGATTGCTACATGAATATAAATCTATTTAGTGCTTTGTTGCCGATTCTGCAAACTTCCATGAGTTGATTGGCGAGCAAGGCAAGAATCTCGTCGTTGTTGAGGATATTTTGAGATGTTATTCATGTACAACATATTCATCTGCCATTCTTCTTCCTGGAGGGAACAAAACAACATTATCAATATTTAGAATGTTTATTGTACATTGTAAATACCAGAGAGTAGAGGGCCTACTCACAAACCTCCGCCAGAATCTAATTTCATTCCAATATCATGCTCTTTTGCAAATCCCGGAAAAACACAAAATTGAATTTCTCGTTCAATTTTCACCCAAATTAATTTGATCGATTTGTCTTGACCAGCAGCCATCAGTCAGCTTTACTAACTTTCATATTAATTAAACAAACAAGCAAACAAACAAACAAACAAACAAACAAACAAACAAACAAACAAACAAACAAACAAACAAACAAACAAACAAACAAACAAACAAACAAACAAACAAACAAACAAACAAACAAACAAACAAACAAACAAACAAACAAACAAACAAACGGATTTGAAAACATATCTTGGCGAAGGACAAACGAGATTAAATATATAGAGTATATTTACACGGCGGCGCGAAGATATGACTTTTATCTTCGAGTGGTGAAAACAATATTGTTTTGTAAAATATTGTTTTTAACACGAGAAGATAAAAGTCATATCTTCAAGCCACCGTGTAATGTTCTGTTTATTATATAGTCCCAAGCAAAAAATTGTATAAATACTAAAAGTCACGTGATCGATATCTTCACTAGTGAAGATATGGAAAATATGTCACTGTGTATTTCTCAGTATCTCACTCTCTACTATGTAATAAAAACCAATACAGGAATTATACCATCACATATGAAACATACCCACTGCAAATGATTGTAGTGAGGTTCTTTCGACGTAATTCTCTTCAAAATAGCCTAGGAATGAAAAATGTTCAATCTTCCCGCACATTAGTCCATATTTTTATTCTAAACCAAAATGCATTTGCTTGAGAAAGACGCGGGTAATACAGGACTTTCAATAGATAACTTGATTGCATTCATTTACATCATACCCTGTACCTGCATGTTCTGAAATTTGAGATTTCGAAGGATTACGTTGCATCATCCCTCGATCAACTTTCGTAGCATCCCCCCCCCCCCATTTTTAGAAAGGGCTGCGGAGGAGTTAGGCTGCTCCTGACGAAGGCTTCGCATTAAATGGTATTTTTAATCTTTGTTAGGTAGTTCAGACACAAATCATAGAACAGAACACAACAACACAATTTGTGGTTGTCTTATTATATAATTCGCATGTGAAGAAATTGCTTCTGGTTTGAGTGGTTCGACTCGCATTGCTCAACCTACAGTAACGCCGCAGATTTTCTCTGGGAATAAGGGACGATGATTCCAACTGGTCCTCTAGGTAGAGCAATTAGAGCTATCTAGTATAAATAAAGTTAGTTTAATGCGGGCTTCCTCCTGTAGTAAGAGTGGATCAATAAGGAATGATTTTTATTGGTCTCTAGGTCTAGAACTGATAGAATTATCCAGTGAGAATAAAGATAGCTCAAAGAGATATGGCTTGCCGCAGTAAAAATTAAGTTTGTCTCATTTGATTAACAGTTAAACAATTACATGTAAAAATTGTAAAAATCCTTTTACCGATTTTTCATATCTGGCTTAGTTCTTGAAATATTTTGACTGAAAACGATGAGCTGTCCACCATCTTGGATTTTTGATCTCATTAACGGCGGTTTTGGTCAAAAGCGGGATTATAAAACCACTCCCAGGTGACCAAATAACAATTAGTAGATCCTTAAAATTTCCTCAGTCAATTTATTTTGGAATAGTGACAGAAGTATAATTTTGGGCTCATAATAACCATTGCATATCGGGGTAAATATTTGCTTGTGACGAAACATGCATATCAACAATAATCCAAGATGGCGATGTAGATCACTAGAAAGTGTAGTTGTCTGACCTGGTTTTCGTGAGTTACACGCAGAAGTTCTCGTTGTCTTAAAGTCTTGTTTAAACTTCTTGCTAGATAACTATTACGGTTGTCTACAGAACCTCTAGTGCGCATGATCGAACTCATTTTCTCGAGCAGTAAGCGGTTCTCTTTATCAATTAACGCGGAGCGTTCCTCTTCTTTCTAATAGAGAAAAGGTTGAGTCAATTTCCATCAACCATAATACACAGCATAACAGGAAACAAATTCCGAAATATAATGTCATCTTGAAATTGAAGATTTGAATTAATAAAACAGACGAGTTTTGAAACTGTAAATGTTCGACTGAAAATGACATTGAAATAAAGTCGAAAATTTAGACTTTCAAAAGCATGTTCTGTTTTAATTCAAATCTTCAATTTCAAGATGACATTGTGTTTTTTTTCATTTTCTGAAATTGTCGGCTGGTTGTGGGTTTCAAAAATTCTAGAAATCATTATTTCACCTACTGGCAAACTCTTATCCTTAAACTAAACCCTTCCCTTATTGCAATTCCTAACTTAATCCTTACACTAAGCCTGATCCTAACACGATGCTAACATCATTACGGGATATTTGTATAAAACTGACAATTGTGGATTCTCCATCCCTGGAAGTCAACAATAATCAGGAAAGGCATTTCATATCAACAGAAAACTACGGATTGAGAAGGATTTAACACCTGAAAAATACAAGATTTTCTTCGACGTTTCGTTCTTCGAAGCGCCCTCTTTGAATGACCTTCGTTCGAAACGTCGAAGTTTTATTTATATCTTACAAGCAGTTGAATCTTTCTCAATCCTCAGTTTTCTGGTGTTATTATCACTGCTGGCCGTTCAACACCCTTTGGGCCTAGTTCACACTTCTGCAATAAGACAAGACAATTCCATATTTTCTTGCTAATGTTCTTTGTTCATCTTGTATATACGGGTTTTTACAAACTTTCACGCATGCGCGATTGGTAATTATATGCAAGGAGGACAGGGCAGTTTCATGTTGAATTCAATAAATCATGTTTTACTAAACGTACCTGCATTTTCTTCAGGTTCAGATGCAAGTGAATGTACGTTTCCGGTGGCTTGTTGTCAATTACCGGGGAAGAATGATTTACCTATAGGAAGAGATGCAATTCTTTTATGGAAATATTTTTATTTCATTTCGCAAATCTTTCAGTAAGCTGGGATCTGTAACGGTGCTAAGAATGTATCAGTTTCATAGTTATTTTGGAAACATTGCTTAGGTCCCGCAGCAGCAGCAGTGCCAACCAGGCTAGGTTCTTCAAACCTGGATTAGCGCTAACCCTCGGTTAAAATTTAAACAGCAGGTTAATGTCAGTTCCGCACTTTGTTTATTTCAAAACATCAGAGAAGAAAGCTCAAACTGGTCCTGCCAAGATTTCTAAAGAAATATTTCCAAATTTATAAACATGCTGTTGGGAAATTTGCTTTGAATTTTAGATTAAGCTAGGGTTAAGTTACTCGGCTTTCGAACAACCGTCCCCAGAGTAACGATCAAGGACTGGCTCATTTGTACTTGTTGAAGGCCACAGTGGCCTGGTCGAAAGAAAGCTCCTTTACTAAATAGAACGTGTTTACCAAATTTATAGAGGACTGCTTCATTCCCTTCAATGAAATTTTACATTTCTACGGTTTAATTCCTCGAATATTTCCCGGATTGCCCACCTGTCGAAACAAAACTTACTCTTCGGGAATCGAAGCTAGAGCGTTTTCCAATGAATTTAGAAATGTAAAACGTATGAAGTTGTCCTTCAGTAACAGTGTAATAACGTGTCGTGTATTCAAATGAGGCAGACAGCTACTGTGTATATCTTTATTAAAAGGTATCTAGTTAAAAAGTTTAAGAGTAAGACATAAAATAAATTCCTAAAAGTCTGAGCTTTCGTCGTCTACGACATCAGAGAGACAGAGACGTCTCTGATGTCTTACTCTTAAACTTTTTTTAACTAGATACCTTTTAATAGAGACATACACAGTAGCTGTCGGCCTCAGTTGAACACAAACACGACACGAATTTTGAAATATTTCCCAAGCGTGATCGTTTGGTCATGTTTCACTCACCTTGTGTCGATGGGCGTTATATCTGCTGATATCCCAACGTTTTTTCAGCAACATATTGTTAGCCGGAGTTATTGGCTGGTACGCGCGATGCATCTTATTTCAAATTACAGATATCTGTACTTTTTTAGTCCGAGAATGTTTCAAAATTCTACGACAAATTTTCTACCGTTTATGACGCAGTCAAATTAACACGTCACTCATTAGCATTGGTCGCGTGCATGCGGGCACAGATCAGTGACAAGACACACGCTAGCCTAAATTCATAGTGTATACATAATACAAGCATATCGAAGGAACTAGATTGGTATCGTTGGTATCGAAGGAACTAGATTGTGTTCCGAAATATCACTTACTCGAATCGACCTGACCACGTAACTCAGTTGGCAGAGCATTGGGCTAGTATTCCAAAGGCGTAGGTTCGGTCCCCACCGTGGCCGGGCATATTTCTCAAGCTCGTCCGGTGTGGATATACACTCAGAGTAACATCACAAATATCATATTCACCTGAGTACACAACACCAACACAGAAATAATCATAATACAAGCATAGTTAATAGAAATACTAAAATACTTATGATACTACGGTGGCCCAGACGCGACAGCACAAAAACAGTTTTTGTATTTTTTGATTTTTGTATTTTTTGATTTTTTGATTTTTCGATTTTTTGAATTTGATATATATTTGGATTTTTTTAATGTTTAAAGACCTTGTCAAGTTCGTTCTGCACATCAGTTCTATTCATAACAAACGGCGACCCACAGAAATAAATATTGCCCAAATTTTGCATTTTTCGAACTGTTTTGAATTGAAACGTACTCTAGTTTATATTCATTTACAATAGCGAACCAGAAAACTGTTAGATATTTATGCACCTATCAATGTTAACCCGGAGGGAGGGGGGGTCGGGCAAGGGGTGGGGTTTGACATTTTTACAAAAAAAAATGTCAAATGCCACTCCCTCGGGAGAAAATTCCTGGGCAAAATTCCCCACCCCCGGGATGAAATTGTATTCCTGAGGTATTTGGTTTCTGGTGCACTCTATAATCTATATGTCAGGTGATAAGGAAATTACACAAATACATTTGGCGGTATAATTTAAAAGTATAACAAATATAAAGAACGTTTCAAAATAACTTAAAATACTCATTAATAATTCATATACCTTGCGGCAAATCATGTCAGCCATATTATGTCACGTGAAGTGAGTTTATAATATCTGATAAAACACAAGCCTGTGTTCCAGTCCGCTACACCACGGTGTAGTGGACTGGAACGCAGGCTAATAAAACACAGTATTCTTATATAATTATATTGTCAGTATTCTTATATAATTGTTCGCCCCAATTAGTATTCTTTTGTAGTCGTATTTTAAGTTGTGCGCCTCGCGTTTTATATATGATAAAACACACTCGTACTCGTGTTTTAAATAGTACATAATGTGAACTTTTAACATATAAGTATAAATCGATATTAATATAATTATAAAATGGATTATAAGTGTTTATTTCTTGTCCAGAAATCTCCATATTTCTTGTAAAAACAACGCGCAAGACAGCGAGCGATAAACTAGTGCCCAGTCTTCAGTTTGTTCCTGACTCTTCCACAGTCCCTTTTTACAGCGGGCGACTGGGGACGAGTCAGAGTTTGTTCTAAAATTGGCTCAGGTTTCTTCAGTATATCGTCTGAGATCAGTGTTAATCTGTCAAAAATCCCCACCCTCGGGCCACTTAGAAAAAAAGTGTCAGTCCAAATCCCGACCCATGGGACCACCTGATTGATCAAATCCCCACCCTTTGCCCGCCCCCCGCCCCCTCGGGGTTAACATTGATAGGTGCATTAGTTAATAGTATGTCTTATTTTACAAATATATAGCAGTCCAAAATATAAACAAAGCGTCGAAGGATTTATTTACATTACGCGGACTTGACATGCATGGTCTTCAAAAGTTTGAAGTACTATAGGCGAAGCCGAGTATCTTTTATAAGTCTGATAAAACACGCACTGCGGATGTAAATTTTATGTCTACAATCTAGATAAAGCATGAGCGGCCATGTTGTATCAAATGTACAAACTTGAGCCAAAGACAATGTCTGGGACAACAATGTCACAACATGTACGCGATACTTCGTATGACTTGTGATCAAACGTTTGAGAACATTCGTATTCTTCAACAATTTTAAATATTCAATGAATGATATTTGGTGTGAAAATTTAACTTAAAGTTTATCTAAATGAGTTTTTTAGTACTATTTAATGCATGATCAGCAGTGTTTTATCAGATATAAAATAGGAGGCCAAGCCGAATATCTTTACTCTTTAGGTCTGATATTAATAAAGAAGACATCGGCACAGTATTTTAAATTGCTTCAAAAACGATCGCTCTATACTACGGTCATTGGCGAAGTAATTTTCAAAAAATACGTTGTATAAGTCGAGAAAATCAACGTTAAAGTTTATGTAAATCAAGGGAAATCTCTATCACATGTAAACGACACGCTTATGTTATGATTATTCTTTGTATCAGTGCTTCCATTTTTAAAATCAAAATTTCTCATTTTTGTCATCAAAATTTCTCTAAATTCCTTAGATTGTATATGTTATTTCCTTGAAAATTCCTTGAAATTTCATGAAGCAGTTTGCAGTGATCTTTGTAGCAATACAGAGGATTTAATTACTTTTCAAGGCACAAAATAGCACAATTAACAAAGATGATTAACAATAACTGTTTAAAATTAAATATTTGTTATGAATTTACAAGAGATACCTTTACATTGATATGATTAAATTAACTATTCACAGCGTGTGGCACAGTTTGGCGCCAAAAGTTACTAAATCCCATCGCTCAAAAACTTTTGGAAATTTTCAGAAACACGAGGAAAAAGTTAAAAACAGATTTTTAATTAAAGATAATTCACTCAAAAATTCAAAAAATAGTGAAACCTTCTTCACTAAAATGCTCGGAAAAAATCCTTAGATTTCCTTAGATTTTTTCTCTTCCTTAGATTTTCCTTTTCGACAGTAGAATTTCCTTAGAAAGGGAAATTTCCTTGAAAATGGAAGCACTGCTTTGTATTTTCCTCACAAATTATTAATTATTTTTGAAATGTAAATATCAGCCTGCGTAGAAGGCGGGAAACGACAAAACGCGGACCCCAGGTCCGTGGACTACCTTCGTGGACCTGGTCCGTGGACTACCTTCGTGGACCACTCTCGTCAGACCACTCTCATGGACCACTTGCGAGACACCAGATTTTTGGGGTTTGGATTCTTGACTGTGCATGCAAAAATGTGCTTGAGTCGAGTTCAGTCATTATTATCATTGTGGAAACTTTACACAAAATGTTAAGTTCTAAATCCATTCACTACATGACCGTTCTAAAATATAAGTGTGCAATTACGACTTTAATGCAAAGTTTCCGAATATATGCCCTTAAAATTGGTAGTTTTTTTTCTCGATCGCTACAGGAAATGCAGGAAAAGCAGTAATCAAGCTTCAAAAATTAAGAATTGATTGTGAAATAGATAATGGAAATAAATAATGAAATAGTTCCCGCCAATCTCGGCTCCCTAAACTCGGAATAATAGTGCTTGGTCTATTGTTCGGTAGGCGAAATTTCGCAAGTGGTCCACGAGAGTTGTCCACGGGAGTGGTCCG